ATGTTTTCTTTGATAGACTTTTCCATATCTACCACATACTCACATATAATCTTCCCTACCAATGGGCAACAATTAAGGCCTCTTGATGAACAAGTACCTATCAACCCACCAGCGATGAGAAGGGCGATTTGTCGCCCCAAAAATATGCGCAACAAAGTCAATGATGAGCCTAGAAACCCACATGTTCTTCCTAGGAAGCTGTCAATCGTTACTTACCATAAGTATGGAGCAATTGGTCACAATAAGAGAAGTTGTAAAGGAAAAAGGGTTGCTAACAGGGCTATTCCAAAAGGTGGAAATTCAAAGAAGGCAAATGGTATAAATGCATAAGAAGTTGGAAATAACAAGAAGACAAAGGGTGGAAATAACAAGAACGCAAAGGGTGGGGCTAACAAGAAGGAAAATGGTGGAAGTAACAAGAAGGCAAAGGGTGGAAATGCATTAGAAGTTGGATGCTTATCACAATCACCTCAACCTACACAACCATCTCAACAATAGTTATTTTGCACCTAAGCCTGTTATGACATTAGTTTGTTTCATGTTATTACGTTAGTTATCTTACTGTAATGGTCTGTTATGACAGTAGTACTTATTTTGTTGTGATGCTAGTGGTTATTTTGTTGTAATGACAATGGTTAGTTTGATGTAATGACAATGATTATTTTGATGTAATGACAATGTTTATTTTGGGTTCATATTGGCCTGTCAAATTTGTATTAAAAATTGGCTTGTCAATGTTTATTTTTGGTGCATATTGGCTTGTCATATTTGTATTAAAACTTGGCTTGTCAATGTTTATTTTGGGTGCATATTGGCTTGTCAATGCTTTCATATTGGCCTGTCATATTAAAAAGGTTGCATATTGCACAAAATTTGCTTGCATACTGCACCCATATTGCACAACATTAAAACAAAATTTGGAAAAAAACTAGAACATTGGAACAAAATTTAGAACAAAACTGGAACAACATTGGAACAAATTTTTTTTCATCCATAATTTCTTGTTACATAGTTTACGTCAAGGTTGCTTTTAAAACAACAACACCACAAAATGTTTGGTTCAAAAACTAAAGAACATAAGTATTTCCTAATTCATTGCACTTGTAGCAACTAGTTTTATTAACAACACAATGATCATCCCAATTGTAAACTTCAACTGAATTTTCAGAAACTTGATTTTCATCTTCAATTCATCCTCTTTGTGCTTGCATTCTTCGACTTTAATCTTCTCTAGACCTAATCTTTCATTTAATGAAGAAATCAACTCTTTTAATCTTAGAGTCATCTCCTCATCATACCAGACAAAATGATTGCACCTTTTGTGTCCTGAAAGCTACAAAGAATGCAAAAGAAATAGAGTTTCAATCAATTTCGAATGTAACAAACATAAATTTGAATGAGATGAGTTAAATACCTTATATATTCCACATTCATAGAAACGACGTCCTGAGTTAGCATTCGTCCATGATGTTCTCAATGTTGCATCGATGCCGCATCTACATTCGTCACCGATGAAATGTGATTTGTTACAATTGTTTCCTTGTGAATATATGAACATGGTTAAAGATTGAGAATGATATGATGTTGATGATGAATGAGGTTCTGGTAGTTTTTAAGAACGATTGAGAAAAGGGGATGAAATACTGAAGGAAAGGAGATAAGGATGACAAGCAAACCCGGACCCGCCTGCACCCGCAGGGTCCGCCCCGAAATTAACGGGGAAAACCCGATTTAATTGGATGCAGATGGGGATGCGGGGGAAACCCGGTTCTTAAATACGGGTGCAGGTGCGGGTGCGGGAAGACACTAAAACCCGCCCGCCCCCGCCCCCGCCTCACTTCTGGATAATGCATTTTACTTTAATTCCCTTATTTTACTTATTTTAATATTCATTTATTAATTATATTTTTAATTAAATTGTTAATACTCTTATTACAATTAAAATAATCAAATTAATCAAGTTAATATTCATTTACTAATTAAAATTTTAATTAAATAATTTATTTATTTATTAAATAATTATTTTTTTAATTAAATTATTAATTTTTATTGCAATTGAAAATAAATTATTTTTTTGCGGGTGGGGGCGGGGCGAGTGCGGTGCACCCATTCTCCACTGGGGGCGGGTCTAGACAGTAAATTTTTACCCCCAGTTGAGTTTGGAGGAAGGGACGGGTGTGTTACATGGAGGCTGGTGCGGGTGCGGGTATAGTTAAACCAGTCTACGCACCGCCCCGTTGTCATCCCTAAAAGGAGATGAACGGTTGAAGACTGGAGAAAAAAAGAAGGTGAACTGAAAATTTAGGATTTCATCTTCAATTTACTCTTTTTAATGTTTTTATAGATATATTTTATTATTTAACTTATTAAAACTATTTTCAGAATTAAAATAATTAACTTAATTAGTTTTTAAATTTCATTTATGACGTGGCGCTAATCATAGAATGTCAACTCAGGATTTTCACTTGCCATGTAGATCAAACTCTGGAGGGACCCAAAAAAATCAGTCAAAGTTGAATTGGGGGATCAAAAGATTGAAAAATTAATGGGAGGACTAAAAGATTAAAAAATGTAAATATATGTTTGGATTGATGGAACATAGCGGAATGGGATGGAGCAGACCTTAGCAGAGCGGAATAGAGTGGAGCGGAATAGAATATAGATCTCACTCTATTATTTGGTTATTTTATTAAAAATATCTTATTTCATCACATTAGTTACCACTCCACTCCATTTCATTCTATTTCATACCACCAATTCAACATACTTTAAGAAGACCAAAAGAGTATTCATACCTTTAAAATATTATAAACATTAGGTCTACTTCTTGGAACACCTCTACTACCCATGAGGTTACTCTATGTCTTCAAAATCTATATAAACAATAGAAAAAGAGTAACCAAAACAATGTGGTATTTTAAGAGTAACTCCACATCTTGCAAGATCTCTTTATTCAATCACACTGCTGCTTCTTGTTCTTCCTGTGAACAATGATGATTCTATAACATATTCCAAAGACTTTCTCTCCCTGTTACATCTTTTATGATGCTGTCTTTTTCTTGTGACAATTTTTCATGTTTTATTTTATGCTATTTCATAGAACGTATCAATTGGTATATAATATTTCTTCATATGATTGATTTCTTAATTAGTTGACATTATTTTTCTAGAGCTTTGTATAAGATTATAATTTATATCCTATAGTTTGCTTGCATGAAAAATTAAGTTTATTCCAACACATATTCCACTCTCTCCCCAGTCACAATATCTAGTAACAAATACAGTCAATATCAAATAATCAATTGTTAAACTCATTAAATAGTGTAGTTGGTAGCAGAAAGGCTAGTGAATGAGAAAGGACATAATGTAACTATGAAGCAGGCTCATAAGTTACAAGCATAAATAATGGGGTGATAAATTGCAGGGATTCATAGTGAATCCATCCAACTGAGGATATGGCAAGCAAGAAAACACATTATATGTAAAATATGACATTATATTAAATAAATTATAAATAAGTTAATTAAAATGTAAATGGCTGTTAACCTCTTGCATTGTTTCCTACATGCTTACTGGAAACTAGTGTTGTTAAATGGTTACTGGAAACCAGTGATGTTAAATATCTGTATAGTGCCGGTATATCGGTATTGTGTTTCGCAATTTTGGTTATTTGATATAAAAGTCGGTATAACACTTCAATTTCGCGATGTTTGTGATATCGGCGATTTTCCAATATGTCGGTATATTGGTTATGAATAGGATATTGGAAGCGTATTTTTATTATTATTATTTTTACAATAAATTATTTTTAAAAACATTAAAGAGAGTAAGGTGAAAAGGTGGACAAGTAGAAACGTTAAAAAGGTTAAGATGTAGAGATGGAAAAGTAAAATCTAAAGAGGTGGAAATATTAAAAAAGGAAAATGTGAGCTACTGAGTCAGTGTTTAGTACTCTCTGTGTTCTTTTTCATAAGAGACAACTCACTTTTTTAGGTTCATTGAATAATCAATGTATCTAGACTATAAACTGACCAAATACATTGATTATTCAATGAATCTAAAAAATGAAAAGTCTCTTATATAAAGGAACGAATGTAATATTATACAACACTAGAAAGAGTCTTTGAAGATGAGAATGATGAGGATGCTCTTAATTGAGAAGCAATTTATAAATCTTCAGGAGTTGGAGAGCTTACAAAATATACTAGGCAAATAATTAAAAAGTGAAAAGAAACTTTCAACTCTAATATTGTTGGCACTTCATCTAAAACAAAGAAGTTAGAAGGTTCTTCATCTAGGAAGGGAAATCAACAAATGTTTGAAGTGGAAGATTCTGTCATCAAAGAATGAAAAACAAAAATTTGATGATATTGATTCAGATGATTTAATTGAACAAGTTGAAGTATATGCATCACTATCCGAAAAGAAAATAATTATTATGTTAGGGAAGGGGGAAAACAGAATAGTTAAATCTTTTATCATTAGTTAGACTTAGAAGAATTATAAATTATTAGTTTGAACTATTTAACTTTTTGAGTTTTAATTCCTTTTAAATTTTTGTTTGTAGTTTTTCTATTTTAGTTATTGGATTTGAAATTTTCAACTTTTTGAATATTTATTTCTGTTTTAACTGCTTTGCGGCTTCCCATATTTACCCGCCATGCGATCCAATATTTCACATATCGATTTTTTGGTGATCCGATATTTTTCGATATTGATATTTGACAACACTACTGGAAACAAAGCCTTCCAAAAATTCATATTAACTTTAGGAACATCAACAACTCTTGTAGCCCTCTTTTGAAGTTCATTTGTTGGAGGATTTGGTTGGACTAAAAGCTCTATAACATTGGTTGTTTTGCTGAGCTACTGACATTAGTTATTCTTGCTGAGCTACTCATATTAGTTATTCTTACTGAGCTACTCATATTAATAATATCATGATGCAAATTAAGTGACTAAAACTCACATTATCAAAAGTGTCCTTAATATGATGCAAATTAAGGACACTCAAAACCTCTTACTGTAGATTTGTTTCCAACTATAAGGAACTGAGAAAACCAAATTTCTAACGGAAATACACTAACATTGATCTGGACGGAAACACCTGTCTCTAACGGAAATCCAGCGGCGGGAATTGCAGCTGCGCCTACCAAATCCACCGGAGTAACGAGGGCACCACCATGCAAATACTTGGCCGAGTTCTGTGATTTAGGTAAAAATAAAAACAAAATTCATCATCAAAAGTTACTAATTAGGAAAAATAAAAAGAAGGTTGAAGAGAGAGTAGGATAATACGAGTAAACGTGGGGTATATTCATTGAGAAAACGACACGGCCAGGTTGTATCAGATCGAGGCGTAAGCCATCTAAGATTAGAGGTTCCAGAAACTTGAGAGGAAATTCAACATTTGCGGTTGATGATTCACCTTTCTCTAAGTACTTCTTCACTGATTCCAACTCTGTTCTTCTTTCTTCTCTTTTATTCATTCTGTTTTTTTTCTCTCTCTTGTTTAGCGCGTTCACTTTCAGGTTATGTTCATGTTCAGAATTAAATTAAATGAGTAGATGTTTTCTTTTTAATTTAAATTTCACTTTTTGTAATGAAATATAATTATAGGAAGCATCTTTTCTTTTTAATGTAATATAAAAAAAAAACAATAGGTTTAAAATGCATTTTTATCATCTATTTTATTATTTTTTAAATCTTTAAATTTTTTATAAGAAAAATCTCCATTATTTGATCCTCTATTCAATATTTTTTAATATTTTTTATCCTAGTGCCAATGCCCAATATGAAATTTTTTATATTAAAATAACTAAGTTTTTCAAAATAAATTTTTAAAATAATTAAGTTTTTTTATTAGTTACCAAAATACTTATTTAAAAAAAAACAACGCAGAACAAGTGTTAATTCAATTAATATTTGCATTTTAAAAAATAGAGTTATAATTAGGAGGAGGCGTATATGAGGTTTCAATCTAATTTTTAAAAAAAAATTATATTAAAAGTAATAGAAGTATTAATATTTAATTTAAATATAACTACATGTGATTTTTTTTTTAATATTGACAACGACAATTACTTTAGTCATATATATTACTAGTTTCCCACCTCTTAGATATTTTCGTAACGGTCTCAATTGATTCATTTCAAGTGTCTTTTGATATGAGGTCCCTAAAACATCACTATCACCAGATTTTCTAGTAAGTTCTTATAAATCAAAATAGTCATGTGTCTGCATCGACGCGCTATCGTAATTGAGTTTATAGTCCATATCAATATAGTTAGGCTGTGTCGATGGGATTATTAATCAGCGGTCAGGTCGATTGGATGTCAATATTAGTGTGGATGATTTATTGGAGAAAGAAAGAAATGGTTGTTATAGTGTTTAATAGCCACATGTTTGTTCATGTTTTGGTGTTGTGATGTTTAGGCGTTTTGGCTATGGTAGAGGCAAGTGTTGTGATATTTATTTAATTTTTAAAAATTTTGTAACCTTCACATTATATATATATATATATATATATATATATATATATATATATATATATATATATATATATATATATATATATATATATATATATATATATATATATATATATATATATATACACACACACTTTTGGTTACACCAAAACGAAATTAAACACCCCTAAAACAACAACACACGAACATAAACACGCCTAAAACAACAACACCACTCACAGATATCATTATTTTTATTTACAATAGAGATGCACGAAACAAGTCTCTCGGTACTTCTTATTCTTTCACAATCAATAATCTCTTTGTCTAACCAAAGCTTCAAGTTCAAAACTCTGAATGTTTCAAAAACACGTCTTCATCGGAGGTTTGGTTCTCAAAATAGTGAGACATGTTCATTTCTTTTAACAACCATGATAAAACTAGTGAAGAAAAGATTAAGAAGAAATTGAAAAGAGATGTGGAGCAAATGGTAGTAGACACCTTTATTTATACTAAAAAAGCATTCATTGGCGTATGCACTTACTTCTTGTATACGGTCGCCAATTTAATTTGCGCCTCTATCTACTTGTCATGCAATGTCACCAATTCAATTGGTTTCTCCATATGCAGTCGTCAATTCATATGGAAGGTGAAAATTTTGTTTGCTACAAAGATTATGAGCAAATTGGAAATGTTTTGATTAAGCCAAGTGTTACAAAATCCATGTTTACAGCTTGGTTTGAGGCTAATAAGATATTTGAAGAGACACGGTTGCTAACTTGTGGACAATTTGCTACTAAATTTGTTTATGTTAAGAAAAGCAGGATGTGGAAGCCTTGAAAGAGAGGATACAATATTGGTAGACTTATTTGGGTTCCATAGAGTACAGGAGAATTATATTATCTACGTATGATGTTAACCACAAAGAAAGATCCAACAAGCTACGCTGACATCAAAATGGTTGACGGTTTCCAACACAAAACCTTCTGAGATGCATGTTTTGTCATGGGATTTCTCCAAGATGATCGAGAGTTTATTGAGGCAATTGGGGAGGCATGTATTTGGGATTCTGGTCTTTTCCTAAAAAAGTTATTTGTCACAATGTTGTTGTCTGCATCAACTAATCGGCCCGAGTATGTTTGGTGTAATACTTGGCATTACTTATCAGATGGTATTTTATATGACCAACGTTGCTTGGCAAAAAATTCAAGTATTTCATATTATGTTCATATATAAGTAGATCTACTGTTTATTTATCTTAATTATATTTTATTCATATTTTTGCTTATTATTTTAGATCTACTTCTCACTAATGAAGAGATACAACAACTCACATTGTTGGAAATTAAGACACTTTTACAAAATAACAGAAAGAATTTGAAGGATTTTAAGCCTATTCCATATCAAAAGGATTACATCTTAAATTGCCTTGAAAATAGATTAGTTTATGATGAGAGGCAATATGATCCTGTTGCTCAAACACTTCTACACTAAAAATTGTTTTCCTCTCTTATAGGTTATTTTCCTATTCTTTTGAAAACCATGAAATCTATTGACAATATTTTTTCTTTCTTAGTCTGAAATAAGATTCTTTCATTTTTTTTTTTGTCAAAATAGATGAGCAAAGAGGTATATATTCTGAAATCATGCAAGTGTTGAATGTGACCAAGGAGGTGTTGTTTTTTCTTATATGGCTATGGCAGAACAAATATAATAATCAACAATTGTCTACTATTTTCAATATTTTGGCATTTTTACTTCTTTTTTTTTTAATTCTTAGGTATAACTCTTTTTTTGTTCTAAATTAATTTAAACACCTTCTTTTTTACTTATCCATTTCATCTTCGTTTTTTTGTTCATATGTTGTGATTACTTATTCAACTTAATTCATAGCATTCTATTTTTTGACTTTGCATCCTTTGGTTATAATAACCACACTGACAAGTATATTTAATGCATTCAAAACATGTATGCTAACCAACTTATTTTAAATCAACCTTTACATTACTTATCATATACTTCTAAACAATGCATTATGCTTCCTTATTTATAGGAACATTTAGGTTGCTATATATTTTTAGATCTATTATACATACATATATCATTACTAAATCAAGTGTTATATCATAAATTTTGTTATTACATGATATCAATAACATGTATAGCTTCTCATTATCTATTTAACAGGTAAAACATTCATGTGGAACACTATATTTGTTGCACTACGTTCTAAAAGGAAAATTGTTTTGAATGTTGTCTCAAGCGGAATTGCCTGTTTATTATTACTAGGAAGGAGAACGAACGGTTCATTCTAAGTCTAAGATTCTTGTCCCAACCATTGAAATTTCAATTTTCGAAATTGACAAGAAAGATGAAGTTGTTCATCTCCTAAGATTAACTAATCTAATCATATGGGACGAAGCTCCAATGACCAATAAATTTTGCTTTGAAACTCTTGACAAAATTTTGAAGGATATTATGAGTGAAATTAATAATGGTTCAGAGAACTTTTTGGGGGGGAAAGTCATTGTATTTGGTGGTAATTTCAAACAAATTTTATCTGTTATACCAAGAGGAAGTATAACTGATATTATTCATGCTACAATCAATGCTTCTTACATTTAGGATGATTGCAAAGTTTTGAAGCCTACAAATAATATGCAACTTCAAAGTTGTTCATCTACTTCTTCAATTGAAGAAGTCAAACTGTTTTCTGATTGGATCCTTCAAATAGGAGATGGAAGAGCATTTGAATCCAATGATGGATATGTTGATATTGCAATCCACAAAAATTTCTAATTTCAAACTTTGATGATCCAATTCAAGCCATTGTTACAAGTACATATCCAGATTTGGTGGACAACATTAACAACTCTCATTATCTTTAAAGTGGAGATATATTGGCACCCACAATTGAGGTGTTCGATGAAATTAATGATTGTCACAAATCTTATACATGGTACTTTTAATGTCAACTTCATAAGAAATTAATTCAATACACTATATCATTTTATACTTTTATCAACTATACATACATCTCAATAAATTCTCATGCTAATACCGTAATCTTTTACTTTCTTGGTTTCTTCTTTTTCCATTGCTAATTTTCTATCTATACTTTTGAATTGTCATAGTTTTTTCTACTATACTTTTTTTAATTGCTTTATATTTATTAATAGGAGCTGAAAAAGAATATCTAAGTTTTGATTCAATAGACAAATATGAGACAAGTGACTTTGATGCTTTTGAACATTTAACTCCTAAAATTTTTAAGTTGTCAAATCATTCAATCAAGTTAAAAGTAGACACAACTATTATGTTATTGAGAAATTTAAATCAATCAGAAGGGTTATATAATGGTACAAGACTAACTGTTACAAGACTTGCTAATCATGTTATTGAAGCAAAGATAATTTCAAAAAAAATATCAGAAATATCATTTATATCCCTAAGATATCATTGTCTCATTCGCAATCACCATGGCCTTTTAAACTTGTCAGAAGACAATTTTCTATTATTGTCTCATTTGTCATGACTATTAATATGTCTCAAAATTAATCTTTGGATTATGTTTGTTTATACTTATCTAAGAAGGTTTTTAGTCCTAGTCAACTATATCTTGTATTTTCTAGAGTAAAAAGCAAGAAAGAATTGAAAATCTTAATTTATGACAAAGTTTGACAAAGTTTAGCTACAACCACTAATGTTATCTTTAAAAAGTTTTTCAAAACATCTATTAGGTAGAAATTCCTATTATATATCAATGAATGTTCCATTTTATTTCCATGTCATTTTCTCTTATTTAATTTTCTGTTTCTAACAACTATATTTTTTTGTTGCAGGTTCTTTTCATTGCCTTTTTTAGTATGTTTATGTTGCATTTTAAATTTTTTATTGATAAATGATTACTACTCATTATTATTTTTTCTGCAAAAAGACCATAGTTTGTATTGATAAATAATTACTACTCATTATCATTTATTCTACAAAAATATTATGGCTTACACAATCGATTAAAA